GAATAAATTTTAATGCATGGCTCAAAATTATCTATACTAACCTTAACTCTCGATATCGTTGAAAGATAGAATAGATGTAAAATGAGGCTATTTTTTATGGTTGAAACTTTTAATTATCAAATTATTTCCAGGAATATTGATTTCATTTGGTTTGAGTTAATTTCGTCAAAATTTGATCACTTTAATATCTTTACCAATTATTGAAATAAAGAATCAAGTAAATAGCCAGTAGATTTGAGTGGTAACATTGCCACTCGATGGTGAATACCGCTGGGGATGCGGATGAGAATAAGGTGAGGTAAAACTGTATTTTACCCTAGAGGAGATGAGTTTCGGGAGACAAGGCTAAGTGAAATTTAATGCTATTGTGAGGCCTACTCACCCCATTGTGGGAAAGCCCACTATCCGTCCTTAAGTCATATTACAAGACATAAGGTAATTAAGTTCTTATTGAAGAATTATTGATAGTCTCGAAGCATACTTATATCGAAAATAAGTGTGAGGTTAAGCATGAAAAAAATGTAATGATAAACTTATTATTTGCTTTCCCTTCACCTATCATGCCCTTTGATCTCTTTCTGTCGACCTTTCGCCGACGCCTACGCAAGATTTCCGTCTGTTTGCTCATTCGCTTGATCCATACGTCTCTTCTCATGAGGGCAGCTTCAGCGCCGCTTGCATCATATGCCTCGTACGACGACTTATTGTTGCGGATATTGGAGGCCTTTGTCGGCTTCGCTGTGCCACTTTGCCGATATTTGCCCTGGCTATTAGCGCTTAGGTTACTATGACTGTCTTGACTACGTCTGCTTCCTAGACTGCTTTTCCTGCTACTAAAGCTGCCTTCAAGCTGAGTACTTGTCTCAGCACTCTGGCTATTTTCTTCATTTTTGACTTCCTTATCATCTCCCATACACTTATCTACTTCAGCATATAAAGAAGTTTCCCTCCTTTCCTGGCCAAACGAAGTCAAACTGGATTTTGAGTCATCAACTGTGTGTGCATCGAAAATCTGGCTAGAAGCTCGACAAGCTATCCATGCTTGTTCTTCCATTCTATTGCCGGCAAGTAGTGCAAAGGAGGAAGTTTTATTTTCTCGGATTCGACGGGACTTTCTTTGATGCCGAGAAGAGTAAATTTGCCTCATGGGGTTGCATCGCTTTGGATGCAGTTCGGCTTGACTTTCAGTGTCTGAATCTACGTTCTCTTCATCCAGGGAATCTTC